TTTTTATTTATATTTTGAACACACAAAATAAATATTTTGTTGATCATCATCATTTTCGTCGAGTTTCGGATTTTTTTAACTAAATTTTTTTTAGACGTTTTGAGAGTATCAAAGTTTACATGCATATTCATCAAAACCTAAGCTACATTTTGACAAAATTTTATATGTAGTTATTATGCGCATTTTTGTATAATTAGCAAAAACAGGTGTCCGGATACTTTTGTCCAGGGAGTGTATGTCCCATAATGTAATAAAGATCATAAAAAAGAAAATATAAGAGACAATATAGAAGGTAAATGAGGTGGTGGTAATTATGTCAATACAAAAACTTATCATCTCAAATGTTGGGGAAATTATCAGAATTCACTACAAATAGTAAATGTAAAAGGATAATGTAATCAATAAATATTATATAATTTATAATGCATAAATCGTTTTTATTGACATGTATATTTATATGACATTACAAGTAATAATTAACTGCGAGCTTACATGGGAGGAATGCACAGGACCCAAAGCCATTTATTATGCAACCTATTCTTTAGGTTCATGATTACTAGCTATCATTATCATTATTTTCATTATTGTCATCTAAAATTATATTTCTACTATTGCTATTTGAAAAATTATTTATACTACTAATTGTAATGGAATTATCTTTTTTCTTACCCTCTCTCACAACCCAAGCTTCGATTTTATCTAATGAGGTGTGTTGTGGTGATTTCTGGTGGCTGAGCTAAGCCTTATCTATTCAGATAAGGCATTATATAATTTCGTGGAAGAACTTTTTTCTCTCGTTAATATTCAGAAATGTGGTTTGGTTAAATAAAATATAATAATAAGGAGTTACATGTCTAAATTTGCAATCATTTCACAAACCTCCACTTTGGGCCCCACTTCTCCATCTCCATTCCACCTCAGTACACATTTTATTGATTTCATTGTTGAGGGCCAAAATTGCTTTTTCGAGTTTTTTATATATAGTTTGATCGACCAGAGGCAAAATTGGGGTTGAAGCTGGCATCAGAGCTGGAAATATATTTTTGTGCAAATACAGTCAGGGATATTTCCATAGATGGAAATACTAAATACCGTAATGATCGATGGTATGAAAAATTCTAGAAGA